TAAAAACCTCTCCAGATGAGCCAGAAATTTCATCAACAGATTTTATATCTTCTGGTGCTGTAATTCCAATACTCTTTATGTGATGTCCTTTTGCTATCAGATCTTTAATATATTTTTCACCATGTACTATAAAGGAACCTTGCCTCTTTCTCCTTGAGTTGTCACGACGCAACTCCTCAAAATAAACAACCATGTTATGTCTTGCACCACTTATACGAACGAATCCAGGTATATTAATAATTGGTGGCGGTGGAGGTGGTACTTTTTTCTTCTTTTTGAGTATTTTTGGTAAAAAACCAACAAACCTAGTAACGATGACATTGGATAAATAAAAAATATTAATGAATCGCTCAAGTATCAATTGCAATCCTTATTTTGATAATAAATAAGCATCGCATGTTTACTAGCTAATCCATAACTTGCATATTCGAATTCTACCTCGACATGCTCGTGTTCATTATTTTCTACGTTGGGTCAATTCGAAAATTATGTTTACAAGCCTTGCTATAAATCTCGACAGATTTTCATTGATCGACATCGAATTGACAAGATCATGTGTAACGTGAAAATCATGCGGTTTTTAAAAAACCTCTTGTAACTCAAAATTTCATCTACGTATGTAACTTTCTTCTGCGCACTAAAAAAATCCGTTATAATTGTAAACCTGACCCTAATGTGACTTTAAAAACTTGCGTATATTCGTTGTTTTGATGTTTTGATTGTCGATCAGTGAAAATCGGTCAATCACGGGTAAAATAAGGCGAGACCAACTTGATTTGGCGGTTTACATTACATCCCTTCTTCAAAAGAGGGGGGGGGTGATGGAACGTATACATAGTAAATTTTATTAAAATTTTTTTTCAATCGGAATTTCAAAGTTAAAAAAGAACCATGCGCAGTTATTATTTTATAGATACTTCAACTTTGAAGATTGCTCGACACTTACCTAATTAACTTCGACAAAAATTTTTTTATTTAATTCTATGAATCAATAGAATTAAAATTGATCGAATTTGATGAGGTAAGTGTCGAATATCTTCGTTCAAAGTTTAAGTATCTATTAAATAAAAACTGCGGCAAATTTCTTTTTTAATTTTGAATGGAGATTACTCGACACTTACCACATCAAATTCAGTCAAAATATTTATTTTAATTCTATTGATTCATAGAATTAAAATAAATTTTTTTTTATCGAATTTGGATGGATAGGTGTCAAGAAATCTTCGCTTAAAGTTTTTTAAAAAAAAAGAAAAGGTATAATAAACTTACTAGTTAACTTTTAGCAAATTTTCTCATCCAAATTCGATAGAAATTGTTTTATTTTAATTCTATGAATCTATAGAATTAAATAAAAAAATTTGATAGAATTTTGATGAGCAATCTTCATTCAAAGTTAAAAAAGAAATTTGCCGCAGTTTTTATTTTATAGATACTTAAACTTTGAACGAAGATTACTCGACACTTACCTCATAAAATTCGATCAATTTTTCTTATTGATTCATAGAATTAAAATAATTTTCATCGAAATTGATTAGGTAAGTATCGAGTAATCTTCATTCAAAGTTTACGTATCTATAAAATAATAACTGCGGCATAGTTCTTTTTTAATTTTGAATGAAGATTACTCGACACTTAACTGATCAAATTCGATCAATTTTTTTTATTTTAATTCTATAGAAACATAGAATTAAAATAAAAAATTTTCATTGAATTGGGATAGATGGATGTCAAGAAATCTTCGATTAAAGTTTAGAAAGAGAAAAATTCACGCGATTTTAGCTTGTTGTCCAAGATATTCGAAGGTTTTTTTTAAACTTTTACCGAAGATTTCTCGACAATCATGAAACCAAATTCAATAAACTTTTTTTATTTTAATTCTATATATTTGTAAAATTAAAATAAAAAAATTTTTATTGAATTTAATCAAGTAGTTTAAACAATCTAGTTTGATTAGGTATGTCTAGTGATGTGCCGTGTACTGTACAGTAGGGATAGGAATCGGTTATATGATTTAGTCGACTAAATCGACTAACCATAGTAATTTACATAAAAATTTTTTAGTCGACTAAATCGATTCCTATCAGTACTATACGTACTGTACGTACTGTACGCTAAAATTTTTGCCTCACTTTTGCCAGCCAATCAGATGCCGGAAAAGAACTATCATATAAATGGCATATAGGATAACTTTCTCGTGATTGGTCGATCACACAAATTGAATATCGTGTCATGATTGGTCACTTTGCAGATC